TTCTACCTGTCCACTATAAGACACTATGATGTAGATATTCTACCTGTCCACTATAAGACACTATGATGTAGATATTCTACCTGTCCACTATAAGACACTATGATGTAGATGCTCTACCTGTCTACTATAAGACACTATGATGTAGATATTCTACCTGTCTACTATAAGACACTATGATGTAGATATTCTACATGTCCACTATAAGACACAATGATGTAGATATTCTACCTGTCCACTATAAGACACTATGATGTAGATATTCTACCTGTCCACTATAAGACACTATGATGTAGATGTTCTACCTGTCTACTATAAGACACTATGATGTAGATATTCTACCTGTCTACTATAAGACACTATGATGTAGATGTTCTACCTGTCCACTATAAGACACTATGATGTAGATATTCTACCTGTCCACTATAAGACACTATGATGTAGATGTTCTACCTGTCTACTATAAGACACTATGATGTAGATATTCTACCTGTCTACTATAAGACACTATGATGTAGATATTCTACCTGTCCACTATAAGACACTATGATGTAGATATTCCACCTGTGAAATATAAGACACTATGATGTAGATATTCTACCTGTCCACTATAAGACACTATGATGTAGATATTCTACCTGTCCACTATAAGACACTAAGATGTAGATATTCTACCTGTCCACTATAAGACACTATGATGTAGATATTCTACCTGTTCACTATAAGACACTATGATGTAGATATTCCACCTGTCCACTATAAGACACTATGATGTAGATATTCTACCTGTCCACTATAAGACACTATGATGTAGATATTCTACCTGTCCACTATAAGACACTATGATGTAGATATTCTACCTGTCCACTATAAGACACTATGATGTAGATATTCTACCTGTCCACTATAAGACACTATGATGTAGATATTCTACCTGTCCACTATAAGACACTATGATGTAGATATTCTACTTGTCCACTATAAGACACTATGATGTAGATATTCTACCTGTCCACTATAAGACACTATGATGTAGATGTTCCACCTGTCCACTATAAGACACTATGATTTAGATATTCTACCTGTCGACTATAAGACACTATGATGTAGATATTCTACTTGTCCACTATAAGACACTATGATGTAGATGTTCCACCAGTCCACTATAAGACACTATGATGTAGATATTCTACCTGTCGACTATAAGACACTATGATGTAGATATTCTACCTGTCCACTATAAGACACTATGATTTAGATATTCTACCTGTCCACTATAAGACACTATGATGTAGATATTCTACCTGTCCACTATAAGACACTATGATGTAGATATTCTACCTGTCCACTATAAGACACTATGATGTAGATATTCTACATGTCCACTATAAGACACTATGATGTAGATATTCTACATGTCCACTATAAGACACTATGATGTAGATATTCTACCTGTCCACTATAAGACACTATGATGTATATATTCTACCTGTCCACTATAAGACACTATGATGTAGATATTCTACCTGTCCACTATAAGACACTATGATGTAGATATTCTACCTGTCCACTATAAGACACTATGATGTAGATATTCTACATGTCCACTATAAGAAACTATGATGTAGATATTCTACCTGTCCACTATAAGACACTATGATGTAGATATTATACCTGTCCACTATAAGACAATATGATGTAGATATTCTACCTGTCCACTATAAGACACTATGATGTAGATATTCTACATGTCCACTATAAGACACTGTGATGTAGATATTCTACCTGTCCACTATATGACACTATGATGTAGATGCTCTACCTGTCCACTATAAGACACTATGATGTAGATATTCTACCTGTCCACTATAAGACACTATGATGTAGATGTTCCACCTGTCCACTATAAGACACTATGATATAGACTGTCTGCTTGTCCACCGTGAAGACACTAAGACGTAGATTGTCTACCTATCCACTAAAAAGACACTATGATGTAGATGTTCTAAATGTCCACTGTAAAGACAGTAAGATGTAGATTGTCTACCTGTCCACTATAAAGACACTATAATGCAGATAGTTTACCTGTCTACAATAAAGACACTATGATTAGATGTTCTACCTGTCCACTGTAAAGACACTATGATGTAGATGTTCTACCTGTCCACTATAAAGACAATATCATGTGGAAGTTCTACATGACCACTATAAAGACACTATGATGTAGATGTTCTACCTGTCCACTAAAAAGACACTATGATGTAGATGTTCTGCATGTCCACTGTAAAGACATTATGATGTAGATGTTCTACCTGTCCACTGTAAAGACACTATGATGTAGATGTTCTACATGTCCACTGTAAAGACACTATGATGTAGATGTTCTACATGTCCACTATAAAGACACTATGATGAAGATGTTCTACATGTCCACTGTAAAGACACTATGATGTAGATGTTCTACATGTCCACCATAAAGACACTATGATATAGATGTTCTACATGTAGACTGTAAAGACACTATGATGTAGATGTTCTACATGTCCACTGTAAAGACACTATGATGTAGATGTTCTACCTGTCCACTGTAAAGACACTATGATGTAGATGTTCTACATGTCCACTGTAAAGACACTATGATGTAGATGTTCTACATGTCCACTGTAAAGACACTATGATGTAGATGTTCTACATGTCCTCTATAAAGACACTATGATGTAGATGTTCTACATGTCGACTATAAAGACACTATGATGTAGATGTTCTACCTGTCCTCTATAAAGACACTATGATGTAGATGTTCTACCTGTCCACTGTAAAGACACTATGATGTAGATGTTCTACCTGTCCACCATAAAGACACTATGATGTAGATGTTCTACCTGTCTACCATAAAGACACTATGATGTAGATGTTCTACCTGTCCACTATGAAGACACTATGATGTAGATGTTCTACCTGTCCACTGTAAAGACACTATGATGTAGATGTTCTACCTGTCCACTATAAAGACATAGTGACGCAGATGTTCTACCTGTCCACTATAAAGACACTATGATGTAGATGTTCTACCTGTCCTCTATAAAGACACTATGATGCAGGAGGTCCATAAAGACATTGTGACGCAGATGTTCTACCTGTCCACTATAAAGACACTATGATGTAGATGTTCTAATGTCCACCATAAAGACACTATGATGTAGATGTTCTACTTGTCCACTATAAAGACACTATGATGTAGATGTTCTACCTGTCCACTATAAAGACACTATGATGTAGATGTTCTACCTGCCCACTATAAAGACATAGTGACGCAGATGTTCTACCTGTCCACTATAAAGACACTATGATGTAGATGTTCTACCTGTCCTCTACTAAGACACTATGATGCAGGAGGTCCATAAAGACATTGTGACGCAGATGTTCTACCTGTCCACAATAAAGACACTATGATGTAGATGTTCTACCTGTCCTATATAAAGACACTATGATGTAGATGTTCTACCTGTCCACTGTAAAGACACTATGATGTAGATGTTCTACCTGTCCACCATAAAGACACTATGATGTAGATGTTCTACATGTCCACTATAAAGACACTATGATGTAGATGTTCTACATGTCCACTGTAAAGACACTATGATGTAGATGTTCTACATGTCCACTATAAAGACACTATGATGTAAATGTTCTACATGTCCACTGTAAAGACACTATGATGTAGATGTTCTTCATGTCCACTGTAAAGACACTATGATGTAGATGTTCTACCTGTCCACCATAAAGACACTATGATGTAGATGTTCTACATGTCCACTATAAAGACACTATGATGTAGATGTTCTACATGTCCACTGTAAAGACACTATGATGTATATTGTCTACATGTCCACTGTAAAGACACTATGATGTAGATGTTCTACCTGTCCACTGTAAAGACACTATGATGTAGATGTTCTACCTGTCCACCATAAAGACACTATGATGTAGATGTTCTACATGTCCACTATAAAGACACTATGATGTAGATGTTCTACCTTTCCACTATAAAGGCACTATGATGTAGATGTTCTACCTGTCCACTATAAAGACATAGTGACACAGATGTTCTACCTGTCCACTATAAAGACACTATGATGTAGATGTTCTACCTGTCCTCTATAAAGACACTATGATGCAGGAGGTCCATAAAGACATTGTGACGCAGATGTTCTACCTGTCCACTATAAAGACACTATGATGTAGATGTTCTACCTGTCCACTGTAAAGACACTATGATGTAGATTTTCTACTTGTCTACTATAAAGACACTATGATGTAGATGTTCTACCTGTCCTCTATAAAGACACTATGATGTAGATGTTCTACCTGTCTACTATAAAGACATTATGATGTAGATGTTCTACCTGTTCTCTATAAAGACACTATGATGCAGGAGGTCCATAAAGACATTGTGACGCAGATGTTCTACCTGTCCACTATAAGGACACTATGATGTAGATGTTCTACCTGTCCTCTATAAAGACACTATGATGTAGATGTTTTACCTGTCTACTATAAAGACATTGTGACGCAGATGTTCTACCTGTGATCTATAAAGACACTATGATGTAGATGTTCTACCTGTCCACTGTAAAGACATTGTGACGCAGATGGTCTACCTGTCCACTATAAAGACACTATGATGTAGATGTTCTACCTGTCCTCTATAATGACACTATGATTAGATGTTCTACCTGTCCACTATAAAGACACTATGATGTATATGTTCTACCTGTCCACTATAAAGACACTATGATGTAAATGTTCTACCTGTCCACTATAAAGACACTATGACGCAGAAGGTCCATAAAGACATTGTGACGCAGATGGTCTACCTGTCCACTATAAAGACACTATGACGCAGAAGGTCCATAAAGACATTGTGACGCAGATGGTCTACCTGTCCACGTGAGCTAGACTCAGTGTCTTTGTGACCACGTCAGATAAGGGAGAGAACTTACTGTTGTTCGTCAAAGGGGAAAAACTCCACATTGATGATACAGGAGCTCTTGTAGATGGCTGGCGGTTCCCAGACGACTCGGCCACTAGCGTGCAAGGTCGCCTTGGTCATCAAGGTCACCTCATAGTTACCATCGGCGCTGTCAGAAAATCGGTAGAAGGTCAGCAATGGCAGAGGTCAGTTAGCAACCAAATGTTATCTACTTGCAGTATACATCCAGTTATGATGCTAAGGTAGCCAAAAATTAATATAACAGTATTAATAATCAACAAAATTAGTATTCTAACGAAGTCGTTTCCTCGTGAGATGCAATTTGTTGTTTTTTTGAAGTCCTACCCTTGCTTTTGCTGGGGGCCCTCAATATAGCTGTGCCATTAATATTGTCTAGCCATAGATTTGGCCTAAACGTCTGAAAGGGGTTTCTTGGATCTCTTCACTGGTGATCCTCATCCGCATGGTGGCACTTTGTGTCACAGGGTGTTTATCGCTTGTGTGATGTCCTGGTTGGGTACAACTACCTACCGTGCTAATCAACAAAAGCGGATACCCAGGCACGCTAGTCTACAGCCGACCTTGCAACCGTTTTATAGGGCCCAAGGACCACTGTCTTACATGGCTATACGGTTGAACCGGCTTTCCGGGATTTCTTCCTGTCTGGTTCTCATCCTTGACGGGATTTCTTCCTGTCTGGTTCTCTTCCTTGACGGGATTTCTTCCTGTCTGGTTCTCATGCTTGAGATGCTCCCAATGCAGAACTGGCCGGGACAAACTATAGATCTATATGTGTTTGTGTTTGTGTGTGTTTGTGTGTATGGGTGTTTGTGTGTGTGTCTGAATTTGTGTGTGTGTATGTGTGTGTGTATGTGTGTGTATGTGTGTATATATGTATGTGTATGTGTGTGTTTGTGTGTGAGTGTATAAACCCGCAGATTCAAGTTATTGTCTTGTCTACTTAGATCTTTTCACCGAGGACCGACAGTCAACTTTTCAACTTGCAGTCGTTTCAACTTTTTAGTCAAGTTTTCTTGTACAATATCTGGGGGAGAGGGAGAAAGTAAGGGAAGGGAGGGGGGGGGGTGGTGTGTCCGATTAATCTGTGGATATTATTTTGCACTGGCCAAGTGTAAAGGATCTGAACTATAAGGAGACATTCTGATGCCCTGACACCATCACACAATCCGTGCATTGATGTCTGCGGGACCTCATGGCACGTTCGAGTGTGTCAACATCGACGAGCTCTGGCCTCCAACACCTGTGGTAGCACTTGCCAGGCCAGGGTCACTGTTTGCAGGACCAGATAAGCGCAAGTTTCACTGATTTAAATTTGCACCATTTCTACTGTGTTAACATTTTAAATCTGCACTATTTCTACAGTGTTAACATTTAGATCTGCACCATTTCTACAGTGTTAACATTTAGATCTGCACTATTTCTACAGTGTTAACATTTAGATCTGCACCATTTCTACAGTGTTAACATTTAGGTCTGCACTATTTCTACAGTGTTAACATTTAGATCTGCACCATTTCTACAGTGTTAACATTTAGGTCTGCACTATTTCTAGTGTTAACATTTAGATCTGCACTATTTCTAGTGTTACAATTTCAGATATGTATCATTTTTAGTGCTAACATTTAGATCTGAACAATTTATACAGTCGTAAAATTAAGATCTACACCCTTTCTAGTGTTAACATTTACATCTGCACCATTTCTAGTATTAACATTCAGATCTGCAACATTTCTATACTGTTAACGTTTAGACTTTATCTTATATACACTGTTAACATTGACAATTGTACAGCTTCTATAATGTTTACATTTATACCTTATCTTGTCTACAGTCTTAACATTTATATAAGTACCAGTTTTACAGAATTAACATTTAAACTTTATCTCCTTTAGAATGTTGAAAAAAAATATTATTTGGTTTACAATGTTAACATATACGTCTGTTCAATTTCTAGTGTTAAAATTTTTTGTCTGTACCATTTCTACAGTGTTAACATTTTACCTCACCTCGTCTATAGTACTTAAATTTAGTTCCCTACGATTTCTATTTCTTCAATGTTAACATTTATAACTTATATCATCGACAGTGCTAAAATATAAGTCTGTACTATTTCTACAGTGTACACATTTATACATAATCTCGTCTATAATGTTAAAATTTAGATATGTACCATTTCTACAGCGTTAACATTTATATCTGTATAATTTCTGAAGTGTTTACATTTAGATCTTTACCATTTCTACCATGTTAACAGTTAGACCTCTACCGTGACTAAATTGTACACATGTAGACCTGTACCACGTCTACGTGCCATTGTTAACTCATAGATCTGCACCACGTCTACGTGCCATTGTTAACTCATAGACCTGTACCACGTCTACGTGCCATTGTTAACTCGTAGACCTGTACCACGTCTACGTGCCATTGTTAACTCGTAGACCTGTACCACGTCTACGTGCCATTGTTAACTCGTAGACCTGTACCACGTCTACGTGCCATTGTTAACTCGTAGACCTGTACCACGTCTACGTGCCATTGTTAACTCGTAGACCTGTACCACGTCGACGTGCCATTGTTAACTCGTAGACCTGTACCACGTCGACGTGCCATTGTTAACTCGTAGAACTGTACGTCGTCTACGTGCCATTATTAACACGTAGACCTGAACCACGTCTATGTGCCATTGTTAACACGTAGACCTCTATCCATTATATAATATTAATATGTAGACCACTATACTGTCTACAATGTTATCTTGTTAACTTATATCCCTTCTGCAATGTTAACATATAGACCTCTATCTCTTCTTTAATGTCACCACCTAGATCTCAATACTTTTTATAATGTTAAAAAGTAGTCCTCTATCCTTTCTGTAATGTTAACATGTAGACAGACGTCTATTTTTTCTTTATTGTCACCACCTAGATCTCAATCCTTTTTTATAATGTTAACAAGTAGACCTCTATCCATTCTACAATGTTAACAAGAAGACCTCTACCCCTTGTGTAATGTAATGTTAACAAGTAGACTATCCCTTGAGAATGTTAACAAGTAGACCTCTATCCCTTTACAATGTTAACAAGTAGACCTCCATCCCTTTACAATGTTAACAAGTAAACCTCTATCCCTTTACAATGTTAACAAGTAGACCTAAATTCCTTTACAATGTTAACAAGTAGTCCTCTATCGTTTTACAATGTTAACATGTAGACCTCTACCCCTTTACAATGTTAACATGTAGACCTCTACCCCTTTACAATGTTAACATGTAGACCTCTATCTCTTTACAATGTTAACAAGTAGACCTCTATCCCTTTACAATGTTAACATGTAGACCTCTTTCCTTTTATAACATGTAGACCTCTATCCTTTTACAATGTTAACAAGTAGACCTCTATCCCTTCCTTGTGTGACTAACTTACAGGACATGTGTAGTTTAGATGCCTTGTGTGACTAACTTACAGGACAGTGTGTAGTTTAGATGCCTTGTGTGACTAACTTACAGGACATGTGTAGTTTATGCCTTGTGTGATGCCTTGTGTGACTAACTTACAGGACAGTGTGTAGATTAGATGCCCTGTGTGACTAACTTACAGGACATGTGTAGTTTAGATGCCTTGTGTGACTAACTTACAGGACATGTGTAGTTTAGATGCCTTGTGTGACTAACTTATGTGTGTAGTTTAGATGCCTTGTGTGACTAACTTACAGGACATGTGTAGATTAGATGCCTTGTGTGACTAACTTACAGGACATGTGTAGATTAGATGCCTTGTGTGACTAACTTACAGGACATGTGTAGTTTAGATGCCTTGTGTGACTAACTTACAGGACAGTGTGTAGTTTAGATGCCTTGTGTGACTAACTTACAGGACATGTGTGTAGTTTAGATGCCTTGTGTGACTAACTTACAGGACATGTGTAGTTTAGATGCCTTGTGTGAGTAACTTACAGGACATGTGTATAGTTTAGATGCCTTGTGTGACTAACTTACAGGACATGTGTAGTTTAGATGCCTTGTGTGACTAATGTGTGTAGTTTAGATGCCTTGTGTGACTAACTTACAGGACAGTGTGTAGTTTAGATGCCTTGTGTGACTAACTTACTTACAGGATGCCTTGTGTGTACAGTGTTAGTTTAGATGCCTTGTGTGACTAACTTACAGGACATGTGTAGTTTAGATGCCTTGTGTGACTAACTTACAGGACATGTGTAGTTTAGATGCCTTGTGTGACTAACTTACAGGACATGTGTAGTTTAGATGCCTTGTGTGACTAACTTACAGGACAGTGTGTAGTTTAGACTAACTTACAGGACAGTTTAGACTTGTGTGTGTAGTGTGTTAGATGCCTTGTGTGACTAACTTACAGGACAGTGTGTAGTTTAGATGCCTTGTGTGACTAACTTACAGGACAGTGTGTAGATTAGATGCCTTGTGTGACTAACTTACAGGACAGTGTGTAGTTTAGATGCCTTGTGTGACTAACTTACAGGACATGCCTTGTGTGTAGTAGTTTAGATGCCTTGTGTGACTAACTTACAGGATAGTGTGTAGTTTAGATGCCTTGTGTGACTAACTTACAGGACAGTGTGTAGTTTAGATGCCTTGTGTGACTAACTTACAGGACAGTGTGTAGTTTAGATGCCTTGTGTGACTAACTTTACAGGACTAACTTACATGTGTAGTTTAGCCTTGTGTGACTAACTTACAGGTCATGTGTAGATTAGATGCCTTGTGTAACTAACTTACAGGAAAGTGTGTAGTTTAGATGCCTTGTGTGACTAACTTACAGGACATGTGTAGTTTAGATGCCTTGTGTGACTAACTTACAGGACAGTGTGTAGTTTAGATGCCTTGTGTGACTAACTTACAGGACAGTGTGTAGTTTAGATGCCTTGTGTGACTAACTTACAGGACAGTGTGTAGTTTAGATGCCTTGTGTGACTAACTTACAGGACATGTGTAGTTTAGATGCCTTGTGTGACTAACACAGGATAGTGTGTAGATTAGATGCCTTGTGTGACTAACTTACAGGTCATGTGTAGATTAGATGCCTTGTGTGACTAACTTACTTGTGTTTAGATGCCTTGTGTGACTAACTTACAGGACATGTGTAGTTTAGATGCCTTGTGTGACTAACTTACAGGACATGTGTAGTTTAGATGCCTTGTGTGACTAACTTACAGGACAGTGTGTAGTTTAGATGCCTTGTGTGACTAACTTACAGGACATGTGTATAGTTTAGATGCCTTGTGTGACTAACTTACAGGACATGTGTAGTTTAGATGCCTTGTGTGACTAACTTACAGGACAGTGTGTAGTTTAGATGCCTTGTGTGACTAACTTACAGGACAGTGTGTAGTTTAGATGCCTTGTGTGACTAACTTACAGGACATGTGTAGTTTAGAGCCTTGTGTGACTAATGCCATGTTGTGATGCCTTGTGTGACTAACTTACAGGACAGTGTGTAGTTTAGATGCCTTGTGTGACTAACTTACAGGACATGTGTAGTTTAGATGCCTTGTGTGACTAACTTACAGGACAGTGTGTAGTTTAGATGCCTTGTGTGACTAACTTACAGGACAGTGTGTAGTTTAGATGCCTTGTGTGACTAACTTACAGGACAGTGTGTAGATTAGATGCCTTGTGTGACTAACTTACAGGACAGTGTGTAGTTTAGATGCCTTGTGTGACTAACTTACAGGACAGTGTGTAGTTTAGATGCCTTGTGTGACTAACTTACAGGACATGTGTAGTTTAGATGCCTTGTGTGACTAACTTACAGGAGTTTAGATGCCTTGTGTGTGTAGTAGTTTAGATGCCTTGTGTGACTAACTTACAGGACAGTGTGTAGTTTAGATGCCTTGTGTGACTAACTTACAGGACAGTGTGTAGTTTAGATGCCTTGTGTGACTAACTTACAGGACAGTGTGTAGTTTAGATGCCTTGTGTGACTAACTTACAGGACAGTGTGTAGTTTAGATGCTTGTGTGTAACTTACAGGACAGTGTGTAGTTTAACTAACTTACAGGACAATGTGTAGCTTAGATGCCTTGTGTGACTAACTTACAGGACAGTGTGTAGTTTAGATGCCTTGTGTGACTAACTTACAGGACAGTGTGTAGCTTAGATGCCTTGTTTGACTAACTTACAGGACAGTGTGTAGTTTAATTGCCTTGTGTGACTAACTTACAGGACATGTGTAGTTTAGATGCCTTGTGTGACTAACTTACAGGATAGTGTGTAGATTAGATGCCTTGTGTGACTAACTTACAGGACAGTGTGTAGTTTAGATGCCTTGTGTGACTAACTTACAGGACAGTGTGTAGATTAGATGCCATGTGTTACTAACTTACAGGTCATGTGTAGATTAGATGCCTTGTGTGACTAACTTACAGGACATGTGTAGTTTAGATGCCTTGTGTGACTAACTTACAGGATAGTGTGTGTGATAGACTAACTTAGTGTAGTTTAGATGCCTTGTGTGACTAACTTACAGGACAGTGTGTAGTTTAGATGCCTTGTGTGACTAACTTACAGGACAGTGTGTAGTTTAGATGCCTTGTGTGACTAACTTACAGGACAGTGTGTAGTTTAGATGCCTTGTGTGACTAACTTACAGGACAGTGTGTAGATTAGATGCCTTGTGTGACTAACTTACAGGACAGTGTGTAGTTTAGATGCCTTGTGTGACTAACTTACAGGACATGTGTAGTTTAGATGCCTTGTGTGACTAACACAGGATAGTGTGTAGATTAGATGCCTTGTGTGACTAACTTACAGGTCATGTGTAGATTAGATGCCTTGTGTGACTAACTTACAGGAAAGTGTGTAGTTTAGATACCTTGTGTGACTAACTTACAGGACATGTGTAGTTTAGATGCCTTGTGTGACTAACTTACAGGACAGTGTGTAGTTTAGATGCCTTGTGTGACTAACTTACAGGTCATGTGTAGATTAGATGCCTTGTGTGACTGCCTTGTGTTTTGACTAACTTACAGGACAGTGTGTGTAGTTTAGATGCCTTGTGTGACTAACTTACAGGACAGTGTGTAGTTTAGATGCCTTGCCAATGTGTAGTTTAGATGCCTTGTGTGACTAACTTACAGGACAGTGTGTAGTTTAGATGCCTTGTGTGACTAACTTACAGGACAGTGTGTAGTTTAGATGCCTTGTGTGACTAACTTACAGGACAGTGTGTAGTTTAGATGCCTTGTGTGACTAACTTACAGGATAGTGTGTAGTTTAGATGCCTTGTGTGACTAACTTACAGGACAGTGTGTAGTTTAGAGCCTTTTAGATGCCTTGTTTAGATGCCTTGTGTGAACTTACAGGACATGTGTGTAGTTTAGATGCCTTGTGTGACTAACTTACAGGACAGTGTGTAGCTTAGATGCCTTGTGTGACTAACTTACAGGACAGTGTGTAGTTTAGATGCCTTGTGTGACTAA